ACCTATGCGCAAACGACATATTCTAATTGCAAGACAAGGAGGCGCAGAATATTTAAGTTAGTGCACTCTACCTTGTCACGCGTGCCGATGGTGGCGTTATTGGTTTGCGCATCCAAGAAGTCCCAGGCCTTGTCGACGTTGAACTTGGGAGTGGCGCATGGCTGCCCAGGAGCTTGGAGTAGACGTTGCAGCGTGGCGAGGAGCGTGGCGGTCTGCGATGCGTCGTCCATCATGTGAGTGGCGCGGCTGACGTCTAAGTACTCCGGAATGGGGCGCTGATGCGTTGTGTTTTCGAGCAGCGAACTCTGACGGACTGATTGAGGATGATTCCGGGTGATCATTCCCCGCTAGATGATGAGATCTGGCGCTACCTACCGTCAGCTAGCGCGGTTTTCGCCAACCATGCATCTCCCACCAGCGAGCACCGTACCAGCCGTGACAAGCTCTAAGCTACCGACATGTGCGGAAGTGTAATGCATGTGCGTGTATAAGTAACGGGTGAGGATAAGACAAGGAAGAGGAAGAAAAGATCGCGCGCTGTCCGTGACCCTTTGTTTAGGGTTCTGCTCCGACGTTCTTCTGGTATTGATCGGCGAATCCACGGAAAACTACCGATCAGAAAAGCCGGCGGCAAGAAGTCTCCTCCAGACAGTGACTGAACTCCAACTACCTATCAAACCAGTGTCGAAAATCCTACCACCGTCGGGACTCGAACCTAGAACCTCTCTGGCAACTGGCAATTGGCATGCCTACGTGTGCAATGGAAGTTAGTGTTAGGTGTTGCCTGCTCAGGCAATTGTATTCTGCCCTTGTTCCAGAAGGCTTGACCGCTTACGATCAAGCGGCGTTTCGGCGGCCAGTGAGATAATTTGAGAAAAGGAGCTGGCACATAAGTAAACATCGAAGCATGATTACGAAATTATGAGTATTTGTTTTTTCAAACTATTCAATTACAGCATACGACAATTTAAATACAGCGGTCACATCAACAAAATAGAACACACAAAAGGTTATTAAAAAAGCTTATTAAAATAGGATGCCTTAACTGGTGACCCGGAACAGGACTTAACTATAACAATGTATTCCTATACATATCGGTCCCCACGATTGGAGCTCTCCGTAACTGGTAACTGTTTTAAATTAGGTAACAAAAATAATAATTATTACTATTATTTTTATTACTATTATTATTATTATTACTATTATTATTATTATTTTTATTCGAAAGATACGAAAGAAATAACCGCAGCAGAGCGAGACGTGTAGAGCTCGCTTGTCTCTAGGTTTCTAGGCGTGAGCAATGGAAGGACTGACGTACTGACCGACAAAACAGTAGGTTACACAGTAACTAAATGTAGGATGTTGCAAAGAAATGTTGGAAATCATTAATTTTATTGTTCTTTTAAAACGAATGTCTAATAGTACAAAGAAGGTTGAGTCATTGGCGTGAGTGACGGAAGAACTGCTTAAACCCAATACCCTGGAGAAAACTGCATCACGGAATCCCATGTCGTTTACTCAAAATCAAATGTTTATACACAAGAGTCGACAAACAATCTTCAAAATATGTAGCACAAAGCTTAGAATTCAATTTGATTTGATTTATTTTTGACAACACATATTATATTGAAGTACATATTATATCCCAACATAATACTTTCTCGAATAATCGGTAATGGGTACGCAATATTATAACACTACAATGGATCAGCAAAAGAGTTTTCAACTAGTAATTTTTTACTCCGCAAAAGTATTCTAACTCATTTACTCAAGAGTTAACACGCCACTCACGATACCCCTAAACCACCAGCTCCACCGCAAATCACAACCCTCCGGACATGCTGAACGCACACGAGAAAAGCTGAACATTTGCATTTGCAATTTTCTAAAATTCAGAGAATCATTTGCATTATTTCAAGATATTTTTCTAAGAACAGATTTCATTCAAGGTAAAAAAATCTCTATTATGTTAATTTTTTGCAATTTTCACAAATACAGAGGATAGAACAGTGTAATAATTAGATGTTCGCTCGCGTTCTCGAACGACTTGTACTCACCACTGGCTTCTGCGATCACAAAGTCAAGAATTCCCTCCGTTTCTGTAGGATTTCACAACTACAATTTTAACAACTTCTTTTTCATGTTTTTAACATTAGGTAATAAAGTATTGAAGCAATTGGGAGTGCTCGCTACAAATGTCCTAATACGATCCTAACACCGGGCATAAGCTAGGCACTGGTTATAGAATCTTTGTGTGAGACATACAACCAATGCACGCTTTACAATCCATGACGCATTCACCCTTTGTCGAACTGCCTTTCCTGTTACACATGTATTGCGATTGCTCTACATTGAACGAGTGCACAATAGGCTATGGTCTCTTTCCACAACAAACGATCCTAGAAGGAGAAAGAGGAATATATTTGCTTCGAAGAAGGCATGGTAAGTAGCCAGTACATGTGCAGCAGTAACTAATAGTCGGTTCCATTAATTGAGAGAACTATAGTAATACTGCTGCCATTTAAATTGCAAACTCCATATCACTGGCGAGGGCGCATGAGTAGCCGACTTGGATAACACAGGCAGCCACGGCAGCAACTACTCTTTTCAGCGGATGTGAGTTCATATCCCGGGGAAGGAACGGATGAGATCATCTGGTGATCGAGGCGTGGACGGCAAATACAATACACCACGTTTATCAGATTTCTTTCTTATATTTCCTGACCTGTTACTTTTTTCATTCCCCTCCTTTTCTCAATTTTCTTCTTGACCATTCTTGATTTTTCTTATTTGATTTTATGTAGTTTCACTGCATATCTGGAAGGAGATCCAAATTGCCAACCCACATTTCGTAATTCGCCAGGAAAGCCAAGTTATGTTTACTTTGTCACAACTTCCCATTCAGGAGATGAGACAATCTGACAATAAGATGAAGAAAAAAAGAAACAGAAAGGATAGATATCGTCGTTGTTGCACAACCTCCTATGTGACGGAACTGGCGATTTTTTCATTTTGATATCAATGATTCAGAATCTGCTTGTTCTTTAGTTTGATAAGAAAATTTCCAAAGAAAACTAGAAATTGTGGACTTAAAAAAAAAATTAAAATGTGTGTGTGTGACCTTTACAATTTATTGGCGATAGAATATCTCGTATGTGGTAGGAGCCACATGGGATGTTTCTGTCACAAAAATATTACATTCAATAAATATTTAATGCTATTATATAGAAAGTGTAGAATGTCTAAACTGAGCCAACTGTCATGATTAACATCAAAAAGTGTTTTTCCTTCCTCTCGTAAAATTGTTGTTCTTTTCACATAGAAGTTTGTCCATCCTCAACGACGATGTACGAGTATGTTCGGTTGCAAGGGATGATGACGGCAGGAATGGAAGCGGCGCGTGGCGAGAGCGGGTTCAATGCTCAGTGAGTGACAGGGGGATCTCGTCGCGACCCAGTTTTTGCAAGTGCGGTTGCAGCACC